CTTTTCACTGTACACAGAAAGAAGGCATCGAGCACCTCCACATTTCATACCCTAGTATACTGCCCTTATTGCTGCTCCCCACATCATCCATGATGCTACGCTGGCGACGCTCTGGGGAATTACTGTCGTATCAGACACGAGCGCTGTAGCGTCCCCGATGTGGGATCCTTACACTGCAATTACCTCACTGCGATGTCTTTCCTTCTGCTGACTGTTCATTTCATTTTCCCGACATTTCATCCTCGCTGAGGTTCGCCAAAGCAGGAAATGTGTCAGTGACCGTTTCTCTAGTACACCTGGCTTCGACACGACTACCTACAAACTGTTCACATCACTGTCTGATGATGCCCTTCTACACTTCTTTAATATCTGTCTTGATCTATGTTCTGCTCCACGCCTCTGGATGATCGCTATCCTTATCGGAATCTTGAACCGGGAAAGGACTCGGCGGACCCCAGATCCTATCGGCTGATTGGGCTGGAATCCTGCCTACTGAAGGTTTTCACACTACTTTGGGTTCCGGCAGACTGTTGTATGTTGTTCTCCCAGACCTGACCAACGCCTTCCCTTCCACTGATCACTCTTCGTTATGGGTCATGATGTATAAACGCGGAGCTGGTAGTCCACTTTTTCGACCGGCTCCGTGCCATGTACTATGGGATGAGGTACTATGCCAAGATGGATAACACACTCTCCACCCCGTTTGGATCCGATATCAACATTCTTGCTAGTGATGGGACCTCCCCAAGCGTCTGGGACTTCTTTGGGTCCGACTTTCGACCTTGCCACCATCCAGACGATGTTCATTTTGGAGATCACCAGATCCTGAATGTAGAGCATGCCGATGATGACGTACTATGGTCTACTTCTCCAGCAGGCGTCCAGATGCACTGCAACGACTATGGTCCTTGGGCAAGCAAGAAGGGCTTGCTGACTAATTTTGAAGAAAGCAAGGTACCTATGCTTGCACTCCGGTCTATGGCTGCTCTCATGCTCACGCACTGCCTCTGTTACAGGCATTGATTTTCACCACCGCTATCCCCGTGATAGCAAAAGTAACGGCGACCAGTGCTAACACACCCAGCGCCCTCCACTTGTCGACCGCCCCGTTGCCCCCAACTTCTAGTAGCCACTCAGCGCTGGTGGCTTCCCCTGCCCGCCATGCTTCTTCGAGGCCAACGCCACTTTTCGATATCTTACCATGAAAAAATCTAGTGGTGGTGAGCACAACAGAAATCGCCGTCAACACGTCGGGCCACTAGCCTGGCCGGGTTGGATCTGAGGGCACTCACGAACCGGCTCGTTCCAAATTTGCCTTTTCTCGGCGGAACAACTGCCTAGCAAGGCTTCAGCCTGCAGTTGACCGGTTACATGCTGAAGGCGCACGAGTCTTCAACGTGCAGTTGATCAATCTAGATTGATCGATCGCGTTGCATATGTATAAAACTGGGGTCTCTTCCTAGCATTGGACCCACATAGATCAATATAAGTGCCGATGTATGTAAGTCTGGAGAAGGACGTGGGAAGACCCGGTTGATGAATCTTTGATGTCGTATAAGAGATACCATAGGAACATCCAAACAGACTGTCCCTTGTGTCAGAGTGCTGTTGTACCATATCTTGGGCTGAGGGAATACTGTTTGGATGCATACCGCTGAGAAAGTGGAGATAGGGAGATACAAGGCTATTTTGGTTAGATTGGTGACACTGTTTTCACAGATTCGCAGCCGGAAATAGAGAATCAGGCTGATGGGTAGCGTATTAGGAGCTCTTCGACCGGTTTTGGCAACTCCGCAATTGTTTTTCCCGACTCCGCACAATTTCAAACGCAGCCTGCGCAAGGTATAAAGTGAGCAGGAGCCCCTTGCGTGATGAAGCTTAGTTAGCTTTCCTCTTCTAAACCAACTCTCATACTTTCAAGTTTTGATTCATGTCGACTCCGAAAGAGGATTATTATGCTAGTCTTCACGCTGGCATGTCAAAGTGTCCTTATTTGAGGCAGTTTCAAGACAGAAACCTCGTTCACATGCATCAGGGTGGACTCACTGTTGTAAAATAGAGTGTAATGAAGGTGGTAAGCACAGTGGTAAACTGAGAGACTCGACCGTTTGAGAGAGATTGTGTTAGGAAGTAGTTAAAGCAATGTGTATTGGGGACTGAGATCCCCGGTATATATACTACAAGGTAAGTACTTCCAGAACATACTACTACCTACCAGTGTCCATGTCTGACTCATTGCTGAGTGAGCAGACGAACGAACGACTCGAGGAGAAGAGACGCGAAGATTCTCGCGTGGCTTCAACTATAGTCCGATTGCCGGATTGCCGGATGCGGCTGGCGCATCTTCGACACTCCCCCTCAAGACAGCAGTAGGCCCAGTTCACGAACGAACTTCTCGTGCTTAGGCCTCGGCAATGCCTTCGTAAAAATATCAGCAACCATTTCGTCGGTTGGGCAATACAACAACTTGATCACTTGGGACTCGATTTTTTCGTGCACAAAATGATTTTGAACATCGAAATGTTTGGATCTCACATGATATTGTGGGTCTCTCATGATAGTGATGGCAGATTGATTATCCTCGAATATCAGGGTAGGTTCTTCCTGGATAAATCCTAATTCCGCTAAGAAGTTGCAGTTCCAGATGGCTTGGCGTGTTGCATGTGCTAGCGCGGTGTATTCTGCTTCTGTGGATGACAAAGCCACAGTCGACTGCTTCTTGGACGACCAAGCGAACGCTGCACCGCCTAGGAGGTATGCATAGCCAGAAGTGGATCGCCGGTCATCGGGATTGGACGCATAGTCTGCGTCTGTGTAGCCGGCACTTAGAACTTCATGTTCTTCATTTGCTCGGAAGGTGAGTTTTAAGTTCTTTGTTCCGGATAGATACCTAAACACTCGCTTCACAGCTGCCCAGTGTTCAGGACCTGGATTGTTTGAGAACTGGCTCAACAACTGCATGGCATACGCGATGTCAGGGCGTGTGCAAATCGCGGCATACATTAATGAACCGATCGCAGATTGGTAGCCACTGCGGACATCGGGGTTAGCTTCTTCGTCGATACATTGCTTGTGTAGGATAACATTTGGGTCAAGTGGAGTTGTGACGGGTGATGCATTGTGGAGACCAAAACGTGTGAGTATTCCATCGATGTATTGCAGCTGGGATAATGAGATCGTGCCATTATCACGGTCCCTCTCTATTTCGATCCCAATGATCTTCATCGGCTTTCCCATGTCCTTGATGTCGAACAGCCCTGCTAACTCCCTTTTTATTCTGTCTAGATCCTCGGGTGTTTCAGCAAAGATTAACAAGTCATCGACCCATACAGTCAGGAACACTGTCCTGCTGTCTTGGACGCGTTTATAGACGCAGTGGTCGACTTCGAGCTTTGCACCTGTAGCTGCTACTCTGATACATTAAACAGCGTTAGTTGACACTTAATTGTGATACATCAACAGCGTCAGTTTACACTGAACCTATATAGGGGAATCACGCAGATACTACAGGAGGCTTTAGTAAGCACAGCGGCCAGAATGAAATGACATCATCAGAAAATAGCCGGCCGACCGAGAGTCGAACTCGGGACCTCCAAAATAATTCCAAATTGCATCATATAATACTAATCATAGTCATGTTAACCACTACACTATACCAGTGTTAATATTATAAGTATTCTTACTGTATATATAGCCTCTTTTTTCACAGATCACCACAACTACTTAGCTAATCCCGCCTCTTGGGCGACGCATACCAAATCCGTCAATACTAATTTATCTGAGTGAAATTATTTAAAATCATGAGATATATATATTAAAAATGCAAAAATATATTAATATGTATATAGGAGGGGCGATGAGCGGTGGGTGGGCTTGTGTAACGGAAACAAAGAGAATGGGATTTGGCGCCAAGGGAGAGATTTCGAAGGGTGATGTTGGATGCATGAAACATAACGCTTGCTGGGAATAGTGGAGGGAGGGCTGATGGATGGGTATACGCATGTCGATGGGGTGCTGGGGCAGCCAAACGCACCTCACTTCCACCACTCAGGAATAAGGGTGGGATAACGAAGTGGCTGTCATGGAATGCGTGGTAGTCCAACAGGGATAAGAGCTGGCAGTGGGGTTGGCCTCATTTGGCAGCAGTGGCAGACATGGCGACAGTACCACCATTGCCTTCCCTGTTGTAAAAGGGGGTGGTTCATATGCCAGTGGGAGGCACCGTAATTGGCTGGAGGTGCAGCTTGGGGTGCAGGGTGTTGGGTCGGCTCGTGTGGTGGCAACGGTGGCAGCTGGGAAAGGATATAGTGAATGCATCGTACTCTCCAGTACGGAAAATGGAGGATGCAACACGATAGCAACGTAGGCGGCACATACAGTGTAGGGAAAGCTCATGTTGGAATCACCGCAGTACTAGCAGTGGGATGGAGTCGTTACAGGGTCATTTGAACCTCCATGCTCTGAGTGCCATCGTCGTCGTCGAACATCGGTGTCCAGCCTGTTGTGAACCCTCCCGCCCAGCATCCTTCTCCTTCCTCCACCCCACTCGCCCTTCCCACCTTGATACGGCCATCCCGCATTCTCCATCACATTCCTTCGGCATTATTTTCCCTGCCCACTCACCCACACCGTCATCATCATCATCACTGGGCCCGCCGATTTCAGTCTGGATTGTTCACATATTGTAGTACATGCCAATGGGCGATGGAGATCATATCACAGTATCATTATGCCCTGCTTGTCGCCGATGTTGGTCGTTGCTGTTGTGCGAGGTGATGTTGGAGACATAGTGGCGATTGCTCGCAGCGGAGAACACAAACAATCGAGTGAATGAGCGAATGAGGTGCCGCCTCTAAGAGGACTTCATGGATCAGTCAATGTGGGGAAATTTTTCAGAGCACGTGGCGGAGATGGCCCGTGCTCAATCAATTGTATTACATAAAAACTACTACTTGATATATATATATGCGGGATTGAAAGATATAAGAAAAAAAAGCGGTTCAATCAAGCAAACTCTGCAGCACATAGCAAACGTCTCCCATAGCAAAATACAGCTCCCTGTGGGCTTCACTGGATCTAGCCCTCTCACGATGAGTTGTGAGAGGAAGAACTTTGGCCCCCTCAGCCCAGAAAAACAGCGCTGCCACAACGCTGACCATACCATTTCTCCCTGAGCAAGTCTTGAGGCACTCCCAACTAATATCCGTCGATGGATGAATTTGGATGGGGCGTCCGTCGTCTTCATGTTCAAGATCCTCGATGGGGTGCTCATATGCTCCCACACGGCCTTCAGGCTGAAGATTCGCCCACCATGCCCAGAAGGGCGATTGAAATTTCTGGATAAGATCGAGATTTGCATAACTGGGTCGCCACTTTTGCGGTCGTGCACATGAAATCCATTGACCTACGCACTTGGGGCGGTAGTTGGCGGGTAATTTGTCGCTGCTGTCGAAACCATTCGCAGACTGAAATGCCACCCATGAGTAGACAACTTGGGTCCAGTCAGGCCCGAAATCATGCGACATGAACAATTCCAAGACCGTCACCACCCAAAGGGGTGCACTAGATGGGAAGACGATGCTGATAAGGGGGGGTACAACCTTCTCAGTCCCTCCAGGCGCCTCTACCACTTTCGTCGTGAGGCTCCCCTTGTGATTACTGCCGCCTCTTCCATCCATCTTCATTCTTTTAAGAATGACACCGCTACCCAGAGAATCCTCAGCAGTTCGCTTGCTGAGACTCAGTTGCCCGGTCTGGAATCCTGGAAGGCGTTGGGTCAAAGCGAAGGGAGCATCACGCGGGATTGGGTCCGACCTGTGTATAAGGGCTACAGCACTGCTGACACCAACTTCTGCATCCTTCGCTGCCGAGGCATTGTCGGAGGGTACCGGTCTTACAGGCTGCGGGATGGGAGATTGAGCTGGTAACGTACTCGGCTTCAAGCTGGCTGGGGCAGTAAAGGGAGATGGCGGCAGAGGCGGTGGAGAAATAGGAGGGGGAGGCGGGAATGGCAGCTTCAAGGCAGCTGGGGGGGTTGCAGCACGCGATGGAGCAGATGGAGCAGGCGACACAGGACGTGAGGGGGCGGGCGATGCGGGACATGAGGGGGTAGGCGACAGTGGGCGAGAAGCAGATGGTGGCGTGTAATTAGACCCATCTGAAGGGATAATCTGTGGCTGGAAGGATGAAACATCGCCTTGCCGAGCTTCTGGATTTTGAGGGTCCGTCAATGGCAAAGTAGGAGTAACCACCGTTTGTAATGCTGGTGTTGGAATTCTGGTCTTGAACACTGTCGTCGATTTCGACGCTAGAAGTTGAGAAAGGGTGGGAAGGCTGCTGGGTCTTCCGCGTCGCTCGGCTGCTTTGGCTGCTTTGGTCGCTTTGACAAAGGTTCTTTTCTGAGCCTTTGGGGGTTTGGTGGATGTAACCGTCGACGAAGAGGAGGTGGAGGAATCGGAGGAATCACGGCACCCAACAACGTTCGCACCTTCAGCCGGATGCACAAAGGCATTTTCGTAGTCGCTTAGCGTCAAACCCAGAGCCTCCAGCCCCCCATCGTCAGGTAAAGCTAAGGCCTGACACTGGTCGGGGCCTGTATCATCGACATCAGCAGGGGTTGATGGGTAATGAAATATTGAACCTACGGTAGCATTTTCTTAAGAACTTAGAAAATGTTGGTGCGACAAGCTTGTCGTATAACTTGGCCTCCTCTTTGACAAAGTTCTGGCCACGGGGACCTGGCATTGTTCCCGAACATATGCTGCAGCAAACGTTTGAAAGAAAAACAAGCAGATACAGACACAACGTACCTGACGACATTGAGATGCCCACCGTCTCGAGGTTCAGGCCCTCCCCATAGCAACACCAACTTTCCCCTCGTACACTCCACCACAATATCGATGATTGGCTGTATGAATTCAGGAAGGCGGTCTATGCATCTGGAGGGCATAGTCAAGAAGTGAGCACCGGAAACTAGTTAGAAAACTTACTTCTGAATGTCGAGGGGATCATCAGGTACCTTCCCATTCCCTCCAGCCCTCCATGCCTCCATAGCAGTTGCATGCTCCTGCTCACTCCTCTGTAGCCACTCATCCCGTTCCTCCTCTGAAAGGTCGCGGTAGCGGTCGCTTCGCATCTTCTGACGCCTCCCTGGCTTCTGCTTTTCTGTTAACTCGCCCTGATTGACCATCGTCTCAAGTTCCTGTTCGATATCTTTGCCGTGAATTTCGCACCAAAGGTTGTACGGGGTTCGCCGGCGGGGTTTTGCAGTCGATTGGCCAGTGAAGCGGGCGAGAAAGTGGTTGTATGGATCGTCGGTGTCCTTGGCCATGGCGTTTGCTTCTTTGTGGTGGTATCGAAGCCAACGTTCGATTTGCTGACAAATCAAACCTTAGCACTAGGGCAATTTAAAAATAGGCATGACATACAAAGTTGCGTGCCTTCACGGTATCCTGATAAGTTTTATAATCCTCCATAGCCTTCAAGAACTGTTGTGGGCTTAGTTTGGCCACGTCGGGGAAAGGCATTTCGGGGGTCTGCGACGTCGTCATTCACCAATGCTAGGGCTTCAGCGGTGGGTTCTTCATTGTGTGGCAGAAGGGGATGGTATCTTTTGTGGTATCGTCGGCAGACACTGATGCAATAGGCTCGGGCGCGGTCCTCTTTTACCGCCACTCCATATCCAGGGAGCTCACTCGTCAAAAAGTCGAACCGGGTACCTTGGAACGTGCCAGGATTGCCCATACTAGCGAGAAGGTCAGCCATCGCATTTTAAATCATCAGCGATCCTCAGACTTACTTTTTTTATCTAGCAAATGTGTTTTCAGCATGTCAATGGCAGTAAGGCAAGGAATTTTTTTCCAGGCTGTCTACTGACACTTCCTTTTTGAAGCATCAGTTGACGGGTCTATACTGACAATATTTCGCCGTGCATTTCACTCGATATGGAGGCGATGTAATTTTTCTGGTTCTTTGATGGGTTTCTGGAGCCTAGGCGTCAATTGGCAAGTGTTACTTGACTGGTCGCCTTGCTTACTGACAACACCCATCAAAATAGAAAATATGGAAAGCCCGGTCGACCGTTCACACACATTTTCTGGCCCGGATCCCTCTCTTACTGAGGCGATACATCGAAATGGAACGTCCGGTAGACAAGTAGCAGGTGTGTTTTTATCTGGTTACCTTGCTCATTACCACCACACATCGAAATAGAAAGATGTTGAACGCTCCATCGTCACTAGAAGCTCCTAAACAGGATATCTCGTTGGTCCGTGAATGTTTAAAAAGACCCCAAACCTGCAGGTCTACCGCCAGGGCATCTATGGCCTCTGCCTCTCGCACCGTGCCCTCCCAATCCAGCGTCACACCCTCTGGTACACGTCCTCTCCCCTTTTCCCGTTCTCATGCTAACAATGCTTCATTGCTCCCCTCTCCAGATTTTTCAGCTTTGATGGCTGCTCTTGCCAACCTCAACCTGTCGGCAGGCGGTGGTACATGTGGTATTCCTTCGTAATTGATACTTGACTGAGGAAATGTTAGCTACTTTGTCGACCATGACCACGACAACAACTTCTAACACACTCCATCTTCCAGCCTCGAATACTATTGGGGGTACCTCGACCCTTCCAGCGGCGGCGCCTCCTCCGGTAACTGCAGCCAGCACCGCGACCAGTCGGGACCCCTAGCACGACCAGCAGCATTACCATTACCACCCCCTGCCCCGTCGACTGCGGGTTCTACACCTGCAGCAACGACGACGACGACAACCCCTTCCCGTGCTAAACGCCCAGGTGTATCGTATCCCAAGGCCTGAAGACCTTCCTCGTCCCCGAAATGTTTGGCCCCCTCAGAATAATTTCTATGTCATTACTTCGGGCCAGGAAGTCGGCCTGTTTTTTACCTGGTATGTTCATTTTTCCCTTCCTAGCATCTTTAGCTCACCGGAGCATCAGGAATGAAATGGCGGAGCGGGTTATCGGCGTTCCCGGAAACAAGTATGAGTGGCGAGCAAACTATTACGACACTGTTGACATTTACCGCAAAGCCTATGACGACGACGAGGTTCACGTCACCCCCCTCGCCGGCTCCCGCTTTGACGTTTCAATTGAGGACGAGTGGGGCACCCTTGATTGGTCTAGCGATGACGAGGATAGCTTTGTGACTGCCATGAGTCAGGCATAGAAGTCAGACGAAGGACCGGGTAGCTACTGCGTCAAATATGTAGTTTTTTGGACATTGAATAACTGCCGGCATAGTTTTGTGTAGTATAAAACCTTTGAAAATCATACATACTGTGTGCATATCTCTGTGAATCAAGCCTTAAGGATCTGCCAAATAAGAGATAAACATGTAAATTAACTGAGTCCCACTGCAGGAACCATAATGAGGCTGTGACTAGATCTCTTCGAGACCCTTGGCGACTCCGATTTCAGAACTGGCACACTTTCTCCAAACTCTTTCAGCAACCTCGCCTCCATACAGTCCAGCTCCTTCTTCCTGACGAGTCTTTGGCCATTCACTGTTCATTGTCATCGACACTTTGATGAAGATCGGTTTGGCGTCAATGCGCTTCATCCATTCACAATCAGGATCTGCAGTAGCAATTCTGAGCAATTGTTCCCTAAACATTTCGTTAAAAGATATCGTGAGCTTGTCTTTTGGTCGCTGACCTGTGAATCCCCTCATTCACAAAGATGGTTTCTGGCATTTTATGAGTTGAGGGATAGGATGATTTAATATGTGTAGGCGACAAGCAATTGTACTAGGTATTGAAAGTCGTAGCGCTGAACTGTTGTGAATTTCAAGAAGGTTCAAGACGTAAAATATCAAAAATTGACAATCATGTGACAAATCTTAAAGCTTGTATGAAGAACTATACATGCTATTTCCCAGTTGAATAGGTTACACCTGGAGTCGAGAACGATGGAATGCGAAATTATGTTCTCATGGCACGCAAGACTGGAGTGATCGAACTTCAAGATCAAGACGCCTGTTGAGGGCATTCAATTGATTGTTTGATAGTAGATGTTGACGCTAATACACCCCTCCACCTTAATGGTGAAGTCGCAGACTCTTTTACAGATCAAACTCAATGGGATGTTTTCTTTAAGCCTCGAATCCAGTATATACAGTTTGTACCTGGTTTTAAATTATTGTTTCATTCACTATCGTATTATGTTTACATTTGATTTAAGCTACAGGTACACATATATGTATTCATTCATGCGTTACCCTTCCTAAGTATAGGCATAGAGGCGTACAAACCAAGACCCATTGCCCATTGCCCAGCGCTGAGTTCTGAGGGCAGCATCATGTTCTGCGTCACTGAGCTGGCTCCAGTAGTCCTCACTCAACTGAAGGCCCTGATCCACCCAGCGAAACAACCCCCCCGACGTATACTGCGTGAATGAGTACCTTGTTTCCCCACAGCCTGATGGGTGTGTTGGAGTGGCGGAGGATGGCGGATGGGAATAGTATGGTAGATCCGGGGGGGAACTCAATTACCAGCTTGAGGTCCCACAGGATTAGGTGACCGCCTTGCTTGGGGTTGAAGCGACCGAGCGCTGTTACTGAGCACCAACCGAAGGGTAGGTTTCCCGAGTCCGTATGTTCAAAGGTAGCGGTCTTGGGCCCAAAGTTAAACGTGCACGCGCAGAAAATGCTGTTGGCAAAGTTGAGGATAAGGCTGTCAGTCACTGAGGAGAAGGGCCTTGAGGTGTTCGGCATAGTATTGAAAGAGGGGCGGGGCCCACGCGGCAAATGCGCCTAAGAAGTCTGAGCAATGGGTACGCAGTAAAGGTTTCATAGCGTACCTGGAGGCAAATCCCGCTAGGCGTATGAAGGCAATGTGGTTGAGGAGGGTGGCGAGGACACAGTGCTGCAGCGCCCTCGTGGTGAAGATTCTGCGGGTGCTGTAGGTACGTTATTTGAAAGATCGCCTGAAGAAGGGTCAAATTACATGCCTTTTGTCCCCCCCCAAATGAAATACCTACTGAGAGGGCAGAGTAGCGGCCGCGCCGATGCATCCGCTGCTTACGTGAGAAATTGCATTCGCGTCGAGTTTGATCCAAGAGGTCGGCGGCCGAGGTATGTACACCATCCCAGCTGGGATCATCAGGCTGCCCTGCTAGAACGGCGATGACGCGCCCCTCGCCATCGGTGACGGGAGTCGCGGTTCTGCAGGGGGGGAGGGGGATCTTAATGAGGCGGGGAGGGGGATCTTAATGAGGCGGGGATGTGGTAGGAGGTTAGGCACTCACCGGCCGCACCAACCCTTGTAGTCAAACTTGTAACAGGCTGTTCGGGCCCACTAAATCCCGCAATGCAACTGGATCGTTTCCACCCCTCATCAAGGCGCCTGCCGACGTACCCGGAGGATGCTGCTGGGGCACCCTCAGTGGCGTGGTTGGTTGGGATCTCCTCCACGTGGGTCTGGTGCTTGCGCTGTGTATTGGGGCACACTTGATAGCCATAGGGCTGGCTGGATCCTCGCTGTTTGGCTCGCTGCTTTTTGCGGTTGGCATGGCTTTGATTCTTCTGATGGCTTCGTGAATCAGACTGGCTCAAGGCTGCTGGAGGTGGCGAATAGGTCGGAGGCTGCTGACTTCAGTGGAGGCAGCGGCGTGGATTCCGTCATGGGTTCTGGCGTCGTGGGTGCCGAAGGGGGGGGGTTCGTTGAGGTCGAAGGGATCGTATGCATCCAGGGGATCAAGGGTTTCCTCGTGATCAACGCAGTCGCGGAGGAGATGGGAGAAGCTGAAGTCGAGATCGGAGCTCATTACCGGTGCTGTGGAGCCTTCCCATGGTGAGAAGTGGGCACCAGAACGTGTCTAATTGGGTGTCAGTGATGCAGCTGAGGGAGTGGGAATGCCAGTGAATGAAGGACACGCCTTTCGGAAGGAGAAAAATTCGGTAATGACATCTAAGGATTCAAACATTCAGGGGTCAGGACCGGTAGGAATCTTACACACGACGCTGGCCGTCCCAATGCACCCACACAATACTGGCAACTACCCCAATACCTCGCATTCCCAGGCTTGAGTATTCGTAGGCACGAGGTAGTTGCCGTAGCGGTGGATGTAATTGGGAAGGTAGCTAACAAAATGGACATATGCGGTAGGACCTTCATGAGGTGAACTGCAAGTGGTTGTGGTGGCACCAGACCAAAGTCTAAAAACTTCGAAGCTTCATGGTGATTCTTCACGTGTCACGCTGCTTGTCAACAATGAACATTTTGTGATCACATGCCTGTTATATCACTTATTTTAGGTCGAGGCGGCCTCATGTTTCAGAGTTTGAAACTCCGACCAGTTGCCGAACCTCGATCCGAGAGCTCGTCTCGTATTTCTTCCCTTCTTGATCGTTCTCAGCAAAGCTAGAGTAGACTTAAGCATATTCGCTATACTTCTCTGATACAATGCAGGGTTTGGGGTCAGAATGTAGGTAGGAAGCAAGGATATGGTGCTCCATGATCTGACCAAGCATGAACAACTTGACCCCAACATTGACAATCTACGCTGACCTGAATATAAGAATCCAAGAGGGCCACGTCGCTCACTCTATCAGAGCCATCATGCCCCCACGTCCCATTCCCCTCCCAAGTATCCCAGGATGCCCATGCCCCAGAGGTCACTCGCCCCCCCCCCTGCCTTCTGTCCCTCCATCTCTTCAGGACATCACTAATGCAACGTCTTATATCTCTCGATTAAGCCTTTCCGTCTGTGAGGCCACTTTAATGCGTGTTGCTAACATTCAAGCTTACCCTTCGCATAGCCCATCCCGCTTTGCAAGGTCGGGCAACCCCCAGTGATGTCACCGAAGTTGAAGTCTACAAGCATCGATTGATTGATGCCCATACAGCCGATATGTTGAATGTTGTCACATTTGTCTTCACGTGTCGCTGATACATCTAGTAGGTGAGAATGATGTTATGCCCGCCTAGGCCTCTGCGCTCTTAGAAGGTTGGGCTACCAAGATGGACGATATGGAAGCCCGCCTGCGTCAGGATGCTGTCGAGAGGCAGGAATTCCTCGTCCATGATGATAGTGAGCGAGGGCAACACATTGTTACAGAGCTGCATGGTATCTTTACAAACCGCTTCAATGACCTTGAAACCCGCCTTGATAAGTCCTTTTCCACGATCGAAAAGCGCCTCATTAGGGTGGAAATCACCACCGCTGTCGTATGTCGCTTATTTTTGCGCTAACTGCCTTCTGACCTTTTTTTGTAGGCCCACAACCTGAGTTGTGGCGATGGTCTCCGACGACCCTTCGCTCTCCTACCCTCTGAGGAAGGTCATCTCCCAAACGATATAGATTTTGTCATACCCAGCCAAAACCTTCCGCTCTTATGCGATACATGTGCTATTGAAGGGCTGTCCGATGACCAGCTTAATGCGTATCACACAGCATATAAGCTGTCTGGGAATCGGTGCACCGGGAATCGGGCAGACAAGCTCCTTCTTCTCCGGTACCATGTTGGATGCTCGGCAAACTATTCCATGTAGCATAAGAAAAAGGTTCGTTCATACATAGTTACATGTTGTGCCATTGTAAGATAGTTTCGTCAATTTTAACGTATTTTGAGACACTGCAGGAAATGGCGCTGAGCATCGTATGTCACCACAGCATTAATTGCAACACTTTCCATTAAGAATATGAAGGGCTGGCAAGTTGATGTATGTTTACCTAGCTGAGTTGCTTATGTAACATAGTCGGCCAATCGCAGTTCGTTGACTTTGCCCACGTTCCCGATTGTCGTTGAAAAATGAAGCGCGGTCATTGTCCTCAGCGCCTAGAAGGCACCCACCATCGTGTAGAATTCGAGGACGACTATGACAGAGTACACTCTCAAACGTCTGGCATCGATCGACATGGACATACGTCCTCATCTGAGTCCAAACCCTTACGTGGCAAAGCAGGTTGGACCCTCAGAAGTATGTGGAACCCTCCAGACGATTCCAAGCTTTCACTCGACGTAGATGGGAGCGGTTATGAGGACCAGATGAATGCAGAAGTGTTTGAAAGTACCATCTTCCATGACACAATGGAACCTCAAAAGGCAACGAGGTCAAAAGTTTCGGTGAGTGACAAGTCTTTGGAAACCAGCTTACGTGCTGAGGACGGTTGGAAGAGGCGGCCACATTTGGTGTGGAAGGAGCAGTTCAGATCGGTTTATCTAGACGAGGTTACTCGCCATGACAGACGAGGAGACGCTCGCCAGAATCTGAAATGTCCCAACTGTATCGCTCGGAATGTTGAGGAAGAGGTGCAGGGAGAGCCGGAGGTTCGGTGTAAGGATTGTTTTCTCAGTGATTTGGTCTGCACATCCTGTTGCGTCCGTTGGCATAGGCAGAATCCATTCCACTGCATCGAGGTAGTTTTTCCCCGTTACCCTAACGTGAACATCCAGTACTGACATTCCTTTAAGCGATGGACTGGGCTTTACTTTGCCCCAATCATGCTGAAAGCGATTGGCTTACATGATCAGCTTAACCACCAAAGTTTCCAATGTCCTCTCCCTGTACCCTGCCATGTCAAGCTTCGAATTCTCCATACCACGGGCATTCATGACGTTGCAGTCAATTACTGTGGTTGTGGGCGACAAATCCCGCAGCACATTCAACTCCTACGACGCGGATGGTATCCTGCTAGCCAGAAGGTGGTGAAGACTTGTGCAACGTTCCAGCTGTTGGAGTTGCTCCACCTCTTTTCCCTTGTCTCCAAAATGTCCACATATCATTTTTATCGCACGTTAGAGAGAATGACGGATAATACAGGGCTGAATACACCACCCTCTCGTAAAGCAGCCCTGATGCGTATGCTTATTCAATGGTGTCACTTGAAGCTGTTAAAGAGAGGCGAGCGAGTGCACGACATCACTGGACCTGAGGGTACAAAGCCAGGCGAGCTTGCCGTCCTCTGCCCATCTTGTCCTCGGCCGGGAATAAACCTACCTCCAGACTGGGATCAAGCACCTCCCCACTTAAAGTAAGCATAGATGTTGTAATGTGATGGTTTTAATCTAACCCACTGACCTAGATTTTTGTATATTTTGCTTATATGCATCGACGCGAACTTCCGGCTTAAGAACCAGATTGTGTTGTCGTATTCGAGGGACCCAGGTCTCGGTATCGGTTGGGCGTACTTCACTGCCCACGAGCCTTATGAGGAATACGTTCAAAGTCAAGCTACAGATGCAGACGTTGGTTCTTAATTCATCTATTTTGGTTCAATCTTGCTAACTCTACCTCAGATTAGTAACTGCATGGAGTTTTCTGCCGTGGCCAAATCAAACACAAAGTTTTCAAAAGGGCTCCGTTACACAGGTGTGGTTGCGGTGTCCTGCGGAAGAAGTGAGATGGTTCTGCCTACGTGTGTCGGCAATACGAATAAGGGTGAGAGGTGAGCAATCATAGCAGAGCTGTGGGTCAGGTACTCATCCTCGGTTCACAGATATGCCAATGTCGACCCCCTCGCTGCAGCAGCTATCCGTCAATTCTCAGATTTGCTCTGGGTCATTATCAGCTATGACATTGCCTGCCAATGGATCAAGACGATATTCACATGGATGACCTCACATTGGCCCTCTGAGCTTTGATTCAATCCCGATATCAGAGTGACCCTGCTGGTGCCAAAGTTCCATGAACCGGGTCATAAAGCAGAGGACCACGAACAATTCTCTTTCAACCTCGCTGAAGGCGCCGCTTTATCGGATGGAGAATGTCCTGAAAGGATATGGGCACCCCACAACGTTCTAGGAAACTCAACCAAGACTGCGGGGCCAGGTACGAGGCAGGATCTGATTGATGACCATTTCAGATTTTGGAACTGGCTCAAATATTGCTGCATGGGTGAGGTGTTGTTAAATTCCCTTGGATGTGTATTGAATGTGGCTAGGGTTAACACTTTGGAAATGCTACAGAGATGCAGTGAAGAGGCTGGCTGTGGGCACCTGTGGAATAGTGAGCGGGCTAAAGGGCGAACCTCAAAAACCCACACACACACTCACACAACTACACAAACTACAATCACCCTCGTAAGTTCTAGGGGGAGCGATTATTTCTAATGTGATCCAACTATACTTCAATATCTCGAAGAGTTTCTCTTATTCTCAGTGCTCTTAGCGAAGCTAAGCTTTCTCTAATGACTTCCTAAGTCTAGGAACTTTTTACAGGAAGGTCGTTCACTGGCGCGGCGCGACCTTCAAGGCAGATTTGAGTTATAATACACAAGGGACACTGATCCCAACAGAAACAGAGGTAATACATGCTGAAACTTTAGTGAACTCACTAAAAGAACACCACAGGCAAGCACTGACTTAGCCTGCTCGCTACACAACTGTATGTAGGGGTTCTCCAACTAACTCCAGCAGGTTATCTTGACTCAAGAACACTTCAGAAGCACTCGGAAAACAGATTCAGAAACGGAACTTCGACAGAACTGACACAGAACAGACTGAAACAGAACAGAACAGAACAGAACAGAACAGATCTCAGATTTCCACTTCAAAACATTCTCCGAACAGACTTATCACACTCAACAGAACAGAAACAGCGTCACTGATTCGTATTCACTCTGACTAAGTTCTCAAAAGTCTTATCAAAAGGGTATCTCGTATTTCTCTGAGTGAGCTCGCTAATTCTATGCACAGCTCGAAGTCACAAACTGATCCTTTGTTACAGTACCGCCTTCAACGCGTGCATGGGAACTCGGGGGCTCGAAACTTGGCCTCTACCTACTGTAACCAGCCTACTTATACTACAGGGGAATTAGAATTACAAACGTCGTGCAGTACCCAGACTCCTACATGCGTAGCACATTGCCACCACCACCTTACTGAGCATCCGAGTCGGACTTCCCAGTTTTAGTCTCATTTCTATAGTGAGCTCGCTAAATGCGTGCCAAGAGGTGCTCTCCCGACACCCGTGGGCTTGTTCTCTAGTGACCGACAGGTCTAGATGCACGGAACTATCAGTTCTGGCATGTGTTGTTTAGGACTTTCTTCTTGGATTCACAGAGGCTTCTCGTAGACATGGCAACAAGTGAGTCTTCAAACAATGGGACTCAGAACAATGGAACGCGGGCTCGCGGACTTCAGCCGAAGCCCATTGCCCAAGCTCATGCCAGTGATATCTGTCAGCTCGCTTAAGGATTTTCCCGGATTTTCAGGTACGGCGTGTCACAGTTAGCGAGCGTGCTAAGTGTTCTCAGTGTCAGTGCAATCTTCAAGGTTTTATCTAGCCCCTGCGAGTGTGCTTGTAAGTTAGAGCCTAAGGCATTGGGTATAGGGTTTGGCCTTCTCATCACGCATGCCCGTCAGGTACAGTGCTGTGACTAAGTCCTGTTTAGAATCCCGTTGCTTCTTATGCCATAAGTTATATTCCATGTCATTGCACCGCGTAGCATTAGTGTCAACACGTAGTTTTAGTCCGCTCGCTCACTATCTCTCAGTATGCGTGTAAAACACTCTAGATTGCAAAATTACACGCATAAATAGGCTGCAGTCGCAACAGCGGTCTCGGAGCGAAACCGGCAGGAAGAAGCACACAGAGGCTTTACACAGAGCTTGCCGCCCAATATGGTCGCCGAATGGGAGGATATCTGTGCTGCATGGGAGGCTGATAAGGTTCCTAAGACGGTGCTGAACCCCTTCTGTGTTCAGAGCGATGGTGCATCTAGTCAATTTTTTTCCTATCTGCAATTTTGATGGAGTCCGCCAGATTTGACCGAGGATGAGGTTCATAAAGAGTTGGCCGAGGAAGAGGAGGCTCGCAGGTGCAATGGGGGACAGGTGGTTCATGACATGAGTCCTTCAGCTTTTATGGTTTTTGGTTTGGCCCTCGAGGAGTCACAGTGAGTGACCTGTATGTTTTGGAAGCTTCTACTGAGGCATATTCAGGCGAAAACTATGCTTGGAGGTTAGGAAACTGAAAGCCAATCCGACTGCTCACCAAGACGCTCACATTGCAGAGCAGCGAAGTCTTCTCCGGTCCAAGATCAAAAAATTCGAAGAGTTGCATGCCACATACATGCCTGGGCTCCTGCAGTTTATTACCGAGACTCAGGAGGTGGATTATTTGTCAACTGGGGCATTAGCGGAGGAGGTGAGACTATGGCTACCCTCCTGCATACCAGTGGATCACAGGAGCCAGGTATGTGAGGCCTCTTTATCGGAAATGGAGGAGCATCTATGCACAGTGCAATGCCATGACTCATTAGGTTCGATTCGCCACATCTTGCGCTTGAAAATGCGGATGGTCGAGTACAAGAACAAGAACGTACGAGGTCAGCGGGACGGAACACGTTCATGGATGGGCATCGATGCCATTCATGAATGGGCACTAGCAGCAGCAATCAAGTACCATATGGCAAGGGAGGCAAAAATGAAGCTGAGTGGCCTGGGGGATTGGGAGGAGGGGCTTCATAAGCTTGAAGATGGCGATATCTGTTCCTATCAAGATCCAGATTGTCTCCATAAAGGAACAGGTCGCCGAGGAACGAATGAAGATAGCTGGGAGCCAGGATTGGTTCCCAAACTTCCTGAACCCGGCATCGATCTGTATCAAGATAGTCGAGAAAAACGCGATGGGACTGGCCAAACCTGGCGTACTCTTTCTTGGATTTGGACAATGACGAAGATCAACCTAGTGGATGGGGCTGATGAAAATGACGATGAAGTGCTACATTTGGAATGGTGTTGCAGTCGTGCAAGAGCACATTGGGCACGTGAGGAAGTTTTGCTCCTCTGGGAGGAAATGCGCAGAACCTTGAGGTTCTTGGAATGGCGAGAGGAGTGGTGGATGCAACGGTGGGATGCGCGTGAGTTAGGCGGTGCACTGCACGAAGCAGTGGATGCCTATGCTCTCAAACAAAGCGACATACAGCATCAGCTGGCAGTCAAGTTTCGGGATCTCTGGTTGACAGCTCTAGACGATGGACGAATGGAGAATGCACCGCGTCCCGAACTGCATCCCAGCAATGATGATGATGCCAGCAGCGATGGTGATAGGGATGAACAAAACATCGGGATTTGGAGTGATGAGGAGGAGGTGGAGCTGGATGAGGAGGATTATGCGGATCTCTGAGGGAACAGTGAGTTCCATGAGGGGGAGCACTGTATGACATAATCATGCCATATCGTTTATTCATAATTTCATTATTTTTACTCCTTTCCTGCATGTCATCAAGTTATTTACAATCATAATCCTAATTGGGCAGTACGGGACATCTAATACCGTGCCACCGACATACTATTTGCGCCGTCGCTAATTGAGGAAGTGGCTGCGCTGGATGATCTATATTTAGCTTTAATTACACCTATTGATAACAGGCAAGTAGTCTACTGGTTAAAGTCTGTGCTGTTGCAATGATGTCATAAGGTTAGTCAATATTTTGCTGCGTCGCTGGTTCAAACCCCGGACCTCGCTGGTTCTTGTCTCTGATGTCGTAACTGCTGGCGCGGGATCCTGTGGGATTTGTTAGCCCAGGCATTAGTTGACACTTGGGTTCTAACTGACACTCCTGATGCATCACAATTAAGTGCCAACTGACACCTTTCAAACAGAAATCTAGCAGTCCAGGCTGGTGGTGGGACGAGCGTTGTCCCCGTGCATGATGGTGTTTCAGACAGTGGGGTGAATGGCAGCTTCCACGGCTTCGAACATCTGCTTTTCATCTCTGAACTCTTCGCACTTGTGAGCCAGCCTCTCGAACTTCGCGAAGAACTCTACAGCCGATTTGAAGTCCGATTGGTGGACCTTCTTCCACTCCTGCTTCCAAATCGCCAGTTCGGCTATCTCGTGGAACTGGGTGGTGAGGTCTGTGGAGAATTCCCACCAAGTCGGGAAATGCCAGTGTCCTCGTGGGTCCTGGTACCGGTAATATTGGTTGGTCCACCACTCCTGCGCTTGTTCCCTTAAGTACGATTGAGTGAACGTAATTCGATAGGGGTTCTGCCCCTCATCGTTCATGGTGTAGTACATGGGAAACACCTGAAAATACATTTCGCAGTGATGAAGGAACCAAGTAATATCCAAAGATACCCCGGTGAAGTATTCCGGTTGCATAATTAACTTGGGTTTGACGTCATTCCATGGGTTATTTACGGCTCCTGGGGCGAGTTGCCATGGGGGAATAGGATTCAGCAGCAAAGGTGGGACCGGGGGTACTGGTGGGTTCGGGGGTTGCAGAAGGGACCTAAGACAGGGATTATGTCCTGGAGAGGGGTATCCCCCTGGGTACTTTGGTGGGGATGGCGGCGGTCCTAAAGGAGGTTGCGACGGTACTGTTGACCCTTTTCCTTTGTCAATATTAGAGGGTCCAGCCTCTTCGTCGCCCACCCATCCCTGATCCTTGCCTCCCATGGCTGTGGCGAATTTCATTGTTTCCAACGGGTGCGGCATCAGTTGTGGTCATCGGTAGGGTTCGCAGCTTTGTTGTGGAGTCTCTGGGTGTACCAGGTTCCATACGATCGCCGCTCGGTGCCACGTTTCGACCTCTTGGATGTTCTTCATCAAGTATACATCCCCTATTAATTTTGCATCGAGGTAATCTTCCCCTGCGTCTGTCATCATCCACTGTGGATCCTGCTCCATGTCTTCTGCCATAATCTCGTACAGGGCCTCCCATGAAAGGAGCCCAAATATCGCCAGCATCCCCATGGTCGTTCTAGTGAGTACCGCTCGGACCGCTTTCATTACTTTGATCGTGAGGGCGCTGTTGGGCGGCCTGTTTGGCATCCCTCCTCTCCGCACGCTCTCTGGCGAGGCGGTCCGCCTCCCAGTTTCTTCTCCACCTGCCGATGTCTGAGTCTCCATCGGTGATTTCTGACTGATAGGCATTCCAGGCGTGCCTTCGTGCCTCAAGGTCGGTTCCTGCTCACTGGACAGCCCCTGAGTAATGGAGGGCAGCCCGTTTCCCAATCCTTCGGCTGACTTCCGCCTCCGTTGCGTCGGGCTCGAGGGGTAGGCCCATAGTCCATCAGGTCCTTGGAGGCTGGCAATTTCGGCACAATCGACTGCGTGCATCATTTTTCGTGCTTGCTCCATTCTGGCCTGTTCAGCTGGGGCGAGCTGGGCATTGTCGAGGGAGCTGGAGGGACTGGACAATGTGTGGTAGAGAAGAGGCCATGGTCGCTGCTGCTGGCGAGGGATCAGATCGGCGAAGGCTCACGGTGGGACCGATGGGACGAAACTGGGAGCTCGCTGGATCCGGCAATTGTCCCAAGTTCCTCGTTGTCATAGTCCAGG